GAGGGGAGAGGGAGAGAAAAAAGATGAAAGCAGGAGGAGGAGGAGGGTGGGGAAGGAGAGCGGCAGTGATGGTCTATAATTAATCGAAACATCCCCTGAAAATGTAGTGACATGACATATCAATGACAGGATCTAAAAAAAAAACCAAATTGGTGAAAATGTAAAAAAAAACATTGGTTCAACAAATCCAAACGTTCAACATACTTTTGTGTAAAGTCAGTAATTCCAGAAAAATGAACAAAACATCCCACCGTAATTATTAATGCCTTTTTTAATTAAATTGTGTGTGTGTGTGTGTGGGGGAGGTGGGGGGGAGGATTAATTGGTTAACAAGTTTTATTGTTTTGCATCATAACAATTTATGTCATCATTTTAAACATGATGTACTTTGTTAAAATGTGTCATTAAAATCATGAATTAAATTTGCTTCCGGAGGTACTGACCACTGGAATGTGGATGGAAGGAAGAGAGTTGAAGCCTCGAGGAGAGCAAAGGAAGGAGAAAAGAACAGAGGGAAGGAAAAGGCAGTGGAGAAAAGAAGACCTTCCAGGGAGGATAGAGAGAAGGGAACGAACGATAAGAGAGGAGAGGAGAGGAAGGAAAAAGACATCGAGCGCAGGCTCAAGTCAAAGAAAACAGCAAAGGAAGATGAAGTGGGCAACGAGATGAGAGGAGAAAGACGAACGAGGACTCGACACTGCCACCTTTTTTTTTTTTTCCAGCCTGTTCATCTGGTCGCGTTAGTGCGAGCGCACTCTCCAACAACACCGGCCCTCTATGATGTGGTTGAAAGGCTCGCTCTCTCGCCTCTCGAGTTTCCGCGTCAGAGGGAAGGAAAAGGCAGTGGAGAAAAGAAGACCTTCCAGGGAGGATAGAGAGAAGGGAGCGATAAGAGAGGAGAGGAAAGGAAGGAAAAAGACGTCGAGCGCAGGCTCAAGTCAAAGAAAACAGCAAAGGAAGATGAAGTGGGCAACGAGATGAGAGGAGAAAGACGAACGAGGACTCGACACTGCCCCCTTTTTTTTTTTTTCCAGCCTGTTCATCTGGTCGCGTTAGTGCGAGCGCACTCTCCAACAACACCGGCCCTCTATGATGTGGTTGAAAGGCTCGCTCTCTCGCCTCTCGAGTTTCCGCGTTGTGCGTCTGCTGACCGCTTTGAAGGTAAACGGACCGCCTACGCGCACACGGTTTTGCTATGTTGGCTCCATTTCGGCTTTCGCGTCGTCGGTGCGCATTGTTGATAAACACCCCGGCTTACTCATTTATCATTCCGCGGACCGGACCGTGCGCACGGCAACATGCGGGAGCATTTCCGGGAGAAAGGTCAGACGTTCTATCGGTTTCCGCTGGCAATCTGTTCCGAGCTAGCGGGATGCCATCCGACAGAAAAACAAGCGCCTTCGTTCACTGCGTGATTCTTTTTGTCTTGGCGTCACCGTCCACACATTCTGCACCGTTGCGACCGTGACGGTGAGGAGTGTGGGTCTGACCAGGCTTGAGTGACGCGAAAAGGATGTCGTGGAAACATACTGCGGTGTGTAGTGACGGTGTGCTGAGAGCGTGTTTTGGAACCAAAGCGATTGATTGATAGAGCGCTAGCAGCTCTTTCCCTCCCCGCCTCCATCCAAACCACCGGTTATGGATTCCAATTTATTCGATCGAGCTATGCTAGGCTATATTCATCCAGCTAAGGGTGTACCTGTATCCGTCGATGCAGCTGGCGTTGATGTAGTCGGAGCCCTCCACGCCGCGGATGGGCTGCAGGCAGACGCGCGTGGACTCGAAAGGCATGATGTTCACCAGGCGGTTCTTGAACTTGTTGCAGGGCAGGTTGGCGCTGATGAAGCGGGACGTGTGGGCCTTGGAGTTGGCCAGGCGCTGAGCGACAAAAAGCAAAGCCCTTGGGTGAGATTTCATATTTTGTAAGATTTGCGCGGGGCGGCAGTCAACGCGAATACCCGGTGAGGACATTCATTAGACGTGACCGTGTGGATTATCGAGCCGTTGATTTCTATTGCGTGCGTGGGTGTGTGTATCATGAACCGGCAGCAGATAAAATATTTATTTCATTGAAAATGCTCACATCATATTCCTGATTAAAAAAAAAAAAAAAAACGACCTCAATTGAGCTTGACGGTGCAAAATTGATCATCCCGGTCCAAGTGTCGCGTTCAAGATTAGAAGGAGCATATTTATTAGCACTGTGACATATTTTTATTATTATGACCTGGGTTGGCGGCACAGTGGTCGACTGGTTAGCGCGTTGGCCTGACAGTGCAGAGGTGCAGAAATAATTCCGGCTCTGGCCTTCCTGAGTGAAGTTTGCATGTTCTCCCCGGGCCTTGCGTGGGTTTTCTCCGGGTACTCCGGTTTCCTCCCACATTCCAAAAACATGCATGGCAGGCTGATTGAACACTCGAAATTGTCCCCAGGTGTGAGTGTGGGCGCAGATGGTTGTTCATCTGTGCGTGCCCTGCAATTGGCTGGCAACCGGTTCAGGGTGCCCGAAGACGGCTGCATAGGCTCCAGCAGCCCCCCGTGACCTTTGTCAGGATAAGCGTATCGGAAAATGGATGATGACGTCAACTATTAAATTAGCTGTCAACAGGTTTGGCTGTCAACGTATTTGTGACTCATCTTGGCTGCCCCTACTTGAGATACGAGTTGAATTGACAGCAGGACCACGCTTGAAACTCAAATCGCCTCCCCCCATTGAAATGAATGGAAATGCCACAAATTCATTCATCAAACGATGCATACGAGCATTGCGCTCATGTTTAAATGAGCGCGTGTTCATTTCAAAGCGCTATTTTAAGGAATGTCATTTGAACAAAGAGCGCGCGCGTTGGAGTGTGGCGCCAGCAAGTTGGCGCCGCTTTCGACAGCAGATGGACTCGCGGGAGCAAATACGGACAGTCGTGCTCTGCCAGCAGCGTTTGCGCTGTGTGCGCGTGAGTGTTGTGTGACCCAAACACCACACAATCGCCGCAGCCACGTTTCATTGGCCGACGCCATCATCGCTTCAAACACAATGCATCGCGGTCACCACGAGGGCAAATGGCGGCGCTGGGAGGGAAAACGTTGTGATGACATCACACTGGACAGCAGGTGTTTGCCTGTGTGTGCGTGTGTGTGTTTGAGAGTCACCTTGAACACCGTCGGTTTACGTCGTGTGTAAGTCGCGGAGGTCATTTCCGATGCGTTTTATCAGCGGTGTCTATGTGATGTTGATAACCACAGAAGGCATTATCTATTCGAATTTTTTTTCCCCAACAAATAAGTGCATCCTGTGCTGAAAATGGTCTCCTCGGTTAAAACATGGATGTTAAGTCGTCCGTTAAGTGCCCTGCGTTCCAAATGTTTCCAGCCACAAGGCGTCGTTTTTGTCGGGAAGGCGTGGACGACGGTCTCGCCCATCCGATGTGTGAAATTCAGGTTTGCAAAGCATTCCAAGGACTAACAGATTCATTTGGATTCGGATTGCATCGCTTTGGATTTGAGATCAGCACAGTTTTCAAGTCAAAAGAAAAGAGTAGGCAACGAATCTCACTTGGTCACGTGGATTATGAGGGAGAGAAATGCCAACATGTGAAAAGTCCGACAAGTTTAAGCACCTCGCACTCAAACAGATGAGGTCTATGCATGGTAGAAACGGAACGCGTGTCGCAGTAGATAATAGTAAGTGCACATGGCGATCCTGAGAGATGTTGCAAACGGGATCTAAAAAAGCCACCCGAGTGGTGAGTCACCGTTGCTCACGTCATGTTTTTTTTTTTTTTCCTCCGTCGCGGTAAACATGGTGTATATGTTGTCCTTTCCTCACCTTGAACTCCAGCTCCATGGCGGTGACCGTCTCGCCGGGCGGCGGCTGCGTCAGCTTCTGAATGTGCGCGTAGAGATTGCGCGCCGGCACCTCCGTGTTGCCGCACGTGGCCGCCTCCAGCAGCGCCTCGTGGATGAAGATGTACTGGTCCTCGGTCTGTACCATGTAGTTGCGTTGGGCCCGCATGCACGTCACGTGGCCGTAGATGTCCACCGACTTCTCGTGCTTCATGCGCTCCAACATGGCATCGATCACGATGAAGCAGCCGGTCCGGCCCACGCCCGCGCTTGGATGGCGTAAGGACAAAAGTGCAATTTTATTGCGCGCTCTATTGCGCCTTTCGACCAAGCTCGGGCAACCGAAGCGCACGTTGACGGAAAACGATGCACCGACATTGACCGGCGTGCGTGCTATGCTAGCATGTTTTGCTTCCCCCACCTGCAGTGCACCACCATGGGCCCGGCGTCCGGAGGGTTGCAGGCTTTGACGCGTCTCAGGAAGGCCAGGATGGGAGTGGGATACTCGGGCACGCCGTGGTCGGGCCAGGCCATGAACTGAAACTGCCGCAGCTCTCTCTTCTCGCTAGAGCCGTTCTGCAAAAAGAGAGAAGGAAGTTCAAGCGGGATGTAATTGGAAGGAAAAAAAAAGAAAAGAAAAAAACACGTATCATGCCGGGTTGAAGCACGCCCGACAGTTAAAGGTCAAAAGCGCTTCAATGACGTGACTCGGCTTCCATTTGAAAAGCACCGACGGTTTAATTGTCACACGTTCCTCGCTATTCCTCACAAAGGTCTCGATTGGAGTCCCTCTCAGGGCTGTGATCAACCGAGTGGCTGGAGGCGGAGATAAGGTGCAGAGTTTCAAATGAAAGCGACCCCCGCCCCGCCGTTGCTCGGGAAATAAGTTTCACGAGAATTGTCTTTGGTTGCGGAGAACCGTCTGCGGCTGGAGTGGCTTTAATTGGCACAGATAATTGTGTTTTCAAAAGAAGCAAAGAGAAAGAAAGAGCGCCGCATCATGCCGACAGTTCAATGTGTCGCCCAAAAACAAAGAATTCAATTTTTAATGACTTTTTTTTTCGAGGAACAATAGGGAGGTTTTGAAAATAAAAAAAAAAATCAATAAGCAAAGTCTAGCAATGAAAGCTGCGAGCAGCCACAAATTCGGTCGACCTCGTGGAGTTGAGCTATTCGGGTATTCGGTTTTAATTTGAGTCATCAAACTTCGCTCCATCGAGACACGAGGACAACAACACACACTTTCCGCTATTTAGTCTCAACTGGACCAGTTTATCATCTGGGAAGAAAATGGCTCGCGTGACAGCTTCAAATCAAAATGTCCGCCCTGCTGGGGCCATTTGGGGCGTGGCTTCTTCAGACTTTCCCGTGGTTCGACGAACGATAAAAATGCCGACCAAATGTCCTGGTGATGAGTTCAACGGGCTTCATACGGTGGCTGACTTTTGCCAAAGTTCAATTTCCATCAATTTGGGTGGACATTTTTATCAGCGATGAAAACAACTGCAAAATTTGGTGAGTTTTTGAAGATGGGAAAGCCCACCGTAGGGCGATCGATTTGACTTCACAAAAGTTGGATGCAAATTCAAGAAACTTTGGAGCCACGCCCTGCTCGCAAATAATGATGAAAGCTGAATTTCAAAGTTCAAATTTCAAGCCAATAATATGGAGGACGAGCTCATCTTTGAAGAAGGTCTGAAAATTGGGAGGTTACGGCACTCCAAATGAAACGGCAGACGTCCTCTGTCTTTTCACTCATGGCTTCTTTTTCGTACGTCTACTTGTGATGGACAAGTCGACCGAATTTCTTGCCGGTGTGTTAAATTGGCTTTGGGGGCTCCATTTTCCAAAACATACTTTTGTCACCATCCTCCCACCAGAGGTACAATGATGTCAAATCCAAATTCTTTGGCTATTGCGTGCCCCCGAGCTTGTTCCGTCTTATATGCTTCAAATTCGGTCGAGTCTCTCTGAAAAGTTTGCTTTGAAGGTAGCCGTGGAGTCAGACCAAGTGAGCCCTTTCCAACTGGAACGGTCGCGTCGGAATAAGTAAAAGTTCAGCGGCGTACCTTGTAGAGTGCGAAAGTGCGGACGCTGTAAGTGGCCAGCTCCACCGTGTCCAGCATGGTGACCTGGATCATGCCGTAGGTCTCGGTTCCTCGCGCCGGCCAGTACTGGTCACACTTCACCTGGCGGGTCGAGAGGGAGGAAAGAGGGAAGAGGAGGCGGGCTGTCAGAACAGAGCGCGGCGTGGAGAGCGCGGCGTCGAGCGCTGCTGATTAACAAGGAGGGAACATTAGAGGGGTCGGATCAGAGGCAACGCGGGGCTGTCTCATTAAAAGCTGAAGACTCGGCATCCGCCAAAACAGGGAATGCGCTCTCTCTCTCACCTGTGGGCGCGTGCGAGAAGTGCACTTCAAAAGGCCGCTTTTGTCTTTCGGCGGCCTGTGATTGTTTGCGTCGAGCTAATTGTCAGGCGGCTCGCGGGCCTTCGTCACGTCCGCTTTTCGCCGAGGCAAATGCGGACGACAGGCGAGTCTGAAGACAGGTTATGACGGGGAGCGCGTCCGCTTGGCGGTTCTGACAAGGGTGGGCTTTGCGTGTTCTCTCCGTCCTCACACATTCCCCAAAACCTGCATGTTAGCTTGAATGACATGCGGCCTTTGAAGATTTCCTTTCTATTTCAAAGCATGAAGTCTTGAGGCTTAGTCTTGGCCGCTTCAAACTAAAATGGTTGACTTATCGAGCTTGACCTTTTTTTTTTTTTGGGTGGATCTACTCAAGATCGACATGCCCACAAAACTGAATTGTGAGTGAGCATTTGAAGGATTCCCGACAGCAGGTTTCTTGAGGCACTTTTGTGTTTTGTGTCAAAATAGTTTTGCATTATTTTTCATTTGTCATTTTTTTCCCCCCTAATTTTTTTGGTTAAAATTTCCGAACAGTGCAAAGAAATGTTAGTACTGGCGAACGAATCTTGGATGAAATTCTCATCGAGAAATTTCCCACGGTTTCCCCCGTCCCCCAACTTCTCTTTACAAGGAACGTTGAAATGATGACTCAAATGAGCAACTCGTGAGTCATCCCAAAACATCGGCTGCAGTTCTCATAAAGGTTTTACGACGGCGACAAATTGACATACGATGTTATGTTGCCGTCGAGCGCTTACCTGACAAAGGCGCTCGGCTTTATTTATATTTACGCTGATGGATGGAACGCGAGAGCGGCTCATTAGTTTTGCCTTCCTTCGAGGCTTTCTCGTAACTTGTAACTGTGATTGTTATGTGAAGGTTACATTTGGAAAAAAAAGTTTCTCAACATTAGCTTTTTTTTTCTTTTTCCTGCGTGTCTTTTATAGGTTGGCTTTATTTTGGGAAGCGGGCAAATGTTGGGTGACAATCCTCTTAACTTCAACTTAAAAGAGTTATTTTTTTTTTTCTTTTTCTCTCTCTCTCTTTCTCCGTCGTCTCAAGGGCCAAACGCAGGCAGGGAGCATAAACACCAGCCGCAAAGTCGACGGTGCCTGCAAAAACATATTAGTATTGTGTGTGTGTGTGTGTGTGTGCGTGTGTGTGTGTGTAGTGGTAATGAATGAAGAATGTAATTCTCATTATTATGGAAATCCGTCCGGCAGACAGGTGCGGCAGGAACAGACCGAGAGAAACTTTGGGAACGATGGCGTCTGCAAAGTGACTTTGATCAGGCTGACAAATCCAGCTGAGCAGAAGCAGGCGGCAAAATAAAGAGGAAGCTTGTGAACGCGGAAGCGACTGGCGGAGCGGATGTTGCGGGGGATCAGCTGACAATTGAGGTTGTCGTCATTAGGAGACCACCCCGCCAACCCCCGGCCAAAGTTATGTTATGTTATGTTCAGCGCCTTTATTATGAAGCGGCCGAAAGCCAAAAGCACCGACTTTGCGGACACTGCAACATTTGCAAGTACTTCCATGACATTTTTCTCTTCCATTCATTTGAGTGACAACATCCGGGTGAGTCGTGTGACACACTTTGTTCTTATATTCTCAAACATGGGGCAGTTTCCTTAATATTTGGCCTTTTTTAAATGTATATTTTTTAGATTCTTTTTTTCCAGTACTACTTGTGATTTTTTCTTTTTTTTTTTTTTTTGTTAGATTCTTTTTCTCCAGTACTACTTGTGATTTTTTTTTTTTTTGCCATCAACTATTTGAGTTAGAGATATTTGTGTTTTTATCAAATACTTTTTGTAGTTTTTCACCTAATAAATGATTTCCAAATATTTTTGTCTGTTTTTGATCCAATTTTATTTTATTCAGTTTCTAACATTTTTGTATTTCTTTTAACTAATATTTGCATGTTCTTTCCTAATATGGTGTATTAATTTATGACTTCTTGGTTAAGTATTTTCCATGATATTTTTCATGAAATGAAGTCAATTTTTTTTCAACTAACATTTTACATTATCGGGTAGAATATTTTTGTATTTTCTAATATTTTTTTTCTCCAGTATATTCATGGCACTTTCAAATATTGTACATTTTTTATCGTAGTTCTACTATTCGTGTAATTTCCATTGAATATTTTTAATTTTTCAATTCATAGTATTTTACTTTTGATCTCAGATGTGTGTATTATTTGATTATATTTTTTCATGATAATAATAATTTCTGTATTTTTTATCTGATGTTTAAGGAATGATGCAATACTGTTGTATTATTTTCTCCAACTTAAAAAAAAAACCCAAAACAATTAAAAAAACGTGTGTTTCCCAACGTTGGAAACGTTTTTTCATTCTGCAGTCTCGCCCAGCCTTACCCGAGACTTCTCCTCCAGTCGCGTCATCATGACGATGGTGCTGGATCGCTGCTCCCACACCATCCTCCAGAAGTCGCTCAGCGTCTCGGGCAGCGGTCCCTGCGTGGCGATGTAGGCGTTCTGCTTGCGGTAGCCGTCGATGTAGTTGGCGTTGATGTAGTCGCTGCCCGGGACCGCTGGGAAGCAACGCGGGGCTTCAGTCGACATTTTCCCGCGCGTTTTTCGAGGCGGCCGCGATCTTTGCGCTGATGTTTTCACGCTTACCGTCGACGGAAGTGAGCACCACCCTGGAATGGTCGTAGGCGATGACATTGGCGTAGCGGTTCTTTGGCTTGTTCACTTCCATGTTGGAGTTCTCCCAGGTGAACTGCTGGCCCGGGTCGATGGACTAGGGAGGAAGAAGGGAGGCCCGAAGCGTTAGCCTGGCAAGTTTCGGCATGACAACCGAGACACGCGTACATTGACATATAGTTCACAGACAGTGGGTCAGTTTGAGCCGCAACATAACAGGAGGGTTAAGAAGATCAAGACTTCTTAAGGCCATATTGATCCAATTTAAGAAGAAAAAAAAAACAACTTATCACCACACTGCAAATTTATCTTGACTCAAATGGAAATCCGACACAGTGACTGCCTGTAACCCTCCCGTCAGATCTGTTTAGGTCGATTTGACACGGGGCATGTTTAATTATCCAATGGTGTCAGATCCAAGAAAAAAAATGCCAATAATTGTTGTTTATGTCTCATTAACTCTCCTTCTCAATCAATATTTAGCGGCTGACCTCTCCCCGCGTCACGGCTCCACGAGGATAATTCACATCATTTAGTTATACATCGAAAAATGCATGTGAAAGCTGTTTTGAAGGGCAAATATATTGAAGGAACTATTTTCTTTGTACATATTGGTTGCACTTCTGAAGCAAAACAAAAGTTTCATGCGGGGAAAAAGTCGATTTTGTATGAAACATTTATGTGTTAGCATCGGTCAATATGAATTGCAAAATAACAGCGGCGGGGTTTTGGAACGACATCTATATTGAAGGAAAAAGATTAGCAGAAGCGTTATCATATTCATGTCAATACTTTCTTACTTTTTGGGGGATTTTTTTCTCAAATGGGCCAACGTGCGGTGGAAGATAACATTTGTCTCGCTAACTATGACCACACGGCACCTTAAGCGTGCCCGGGCATTTTTAGGATGTCGTTTGGAGACTCCCGTTGGTTGGGTTTGCCGGGTGCAAGGTTCCGGAAGGGAGGGGGCGGGGCGGGGGGGGGGGGGGGATGAGCAAAGGTGCTTCTCCAGCATAGCCGCTGGCGGGCGATCAATAGCTAATAATACGAGACCCGGTGACATAATCGAGGCGGAGGATAAAACGTCGTCGCACATCCCCGGCCGATCGATATGTACGCGCTCCGACGTCGCCCGGAGGACAAATGACGAATGCAACGAGAGCAGCGATTTGTCCCGCATGCAACTCGGGGATCAGAAACAGGTAAGCCAAGAGCGTGCGGCGTCATGGTTAGCACGTCCGTCTTGGAGTTGTGAGGTTTGGGGTTTCAAATCAGCTGTGGCCTTCCTGTGTGACTTTGCACGCTCTCTCCGCGCTCGCGCGGCTTTTCTGAGGCCGCTCCGTTTTCCTCCCATGTCGCTAAAGAATTCTCCATCCGTGTAAACGTTTTTTTTGTCTTCGCGTGCCTCTTGATGAACTGACGACTAGTCCACGGGCGAAGCCTCAAACTTAATTGTGGTTCGATTTTCGTATTCCATTGGACAAAAATAGACCGTGTGTCCACTTCGGTAAGGCATAAAACCACAAATGACATTTGTTTCTTTTCAGCCATTTCTAGTCAAAAGCGTTCGAAAGGGCAAGCAAGAGGCTTGATGGTGACAAAGCGCCACGAGCGACGTCGTGTGGCGTGCGGGCTGGCGCGCCATCTGCCAGGCCACAGAGGCGCTCTACCCATCGTTTCCTCCATTTGCTCGGCCGGCTGCCCGCCGCTTCCCGGCCAGCCCTGGGTCGGTGACATAAACATGTCGCGAATGCAACATGCTGCTTTGGAGGCGTTTCGTGAGCCATCGTTCTTTATTTACAGCGAATGCGATCAATGCCTCCAAATTTGGTTGAACTCAGAAATAATCTGAGTCGTTCTGTTTAGTTTTAATGTGTAAGGTGGACATCGTTGATGATTGGCAAGAAGATCCGGAACACGCGATGGCTCAGGTTGTAGGGTGGTTGTGTCCCCCGACTGCGGGTTCAATTCTCAAGCATTGTGGCCATGTTCGGTGGTCTGTGATCAAAACACGGAGTTGAATGAGGTGACGGAGATGTTGTTAAAGCGCTTTGACTACCTTTACGGTAAAAGCGCACTTACCATATTATGTAGTAGTTGATAAAAAAAAAAAAAAAGACGCAGTTTTTGATAAATGCAACAGTTTGCAAATGGGAATCTGGGGGGGGGGAAATGCCCCATCGCCCTTCAATCAATCCAACAATCAGTGGTAGCCGAAACAGATTGAAAGATCTGAACAAATAAATGAAGGAAGAAACAAACAAACAAAAAAGAAAAACAGTATGGCGGTTCTTTTCTGTACACGGGGACATCTCGCCGCTCTCCAAAGCAACGTGCCACTTTAAATGCTAATTTTCCTTGCTCCTTTTTATCGAGGACGAGAGGTAATCCCTTGCCGAGTTGCATCACAAGGAGACACTTGCTGATTGCCTTTGTGTCGCTACCACCTGCTAGGATTGTGTTAAAAAAAAAAAAAAAAAAAAGGGAAGAAAAATAAAACAAACAGGACGCAACGGCTTTTAATGTAATCAAGCTGTGTCGGGAGGGGATCAAAGTGGCACAAACCTTGAAATTTGTATTTCTTAACCTCTCCTCGATTATTTGCTGAAAAACTCTTATCTATTTCCTGTCTTTTGTGATCAGCCCAAAGCAAAAAAAAAAAAGTGTTACTTTGACACCACCTTGTGGCATCTTGCTTCGTTGTTGTTCGGTGTAACCAGGATGTCCTACTTTTTGGCTGGTCATTGAATGTACCTTGTGTGAGGAAACAGGAAGCGAAGCTTGTTTTTGCTTCTCTCCTGATGCGCCAATAGCTCTCGTCATCCGCTTTGCCGCCATCGTTTGCCTGCGGTCCCGAACATTTACGATATCGTGTATGCCAAAAGGTGACTTGAACAATGTAACCCAACGTGCGCTGTGAATTCAGTTCGTGTCAAATAATTTAACGACTGAATTATGTAACTGATTATAACTGATGTAACGGACCGCAAATCAATTCAAACGGACCACCGGGGTCCGTTTGAAGTGCTTTGCCACCCTCCTGTGGCATGGACGGGCAGGTGGGGTCAAGTTTTCGCTATTCACAGCAGGGCCCATGCATCGCCGGAGTTCGCTTCACACCAAAAGGCCACCGGCCTGTTGATCTTTACCTCATACTCCTGAGAGAAACGCAGGCCGTCATTGGCCTTGAGGTGCTCAATGTGGTCGGCGAGGCCGGCAACGGGAATGGGCGGGTGTTCTCGCATCCCTGAAAGAACGAGAAAAAAAAAGGAGAAAAAAAAGAAAAAGGTAAGAAAGGGCGGAATGTCGATGGATGTCACAAGACTGGGTGGGACCATGAGGTGGCGTTGATGCGTGTGGGACGAGAGATGGCGAGCGAGGACACGGGCGGGTGCGCATGAGTGATTGCGGGGTGAGAGGCATGCGTCTGCGGATTTGGGGCTCGGAAGAGTCGAAGAGTGAGAACTCCGTAAGTCTCAACGGATCAGTCACACTCTTATTTCACAGGAGGCAGAGAGGGGGGAAAAAAAAAATTGACTGGTCAACAGCCAGAACTCATTTCTTTGAAAATATCTCTTCTTACAATAGAGGATCCTTTGGCACAGCCTGGAGCGCCTGGCCTGGATTACTTTCAAAGAACCCCCCCCCCCCATTTCACAGGAGGCAGAGAGGGGGGGAAAAAAAAATTGACTGGTCAACAGCCAGAACTCATTTCTTTGAAAATATCTCTTCTTACAATAGAGGATCCTTTGGCACAGCCTGGAGCGCCTGGCCTGGATTACTTTCAAAGACCCCCCCCCCACCCCCCC